CTTTTTTGGGAGATCCACTGCTTGAGATGAATATTATCCTAATTAATAAACTGGAAATAAGCGATAAATTCTATCCTGAGTGATAAATTCTATCCTGAGTGATAAATTCTATCCTGAGTGATAAATTCCATCCTAAGGAATAAACCAAAAACAGGGACTGTGCATTTGGCCTGTGCCACAGGGCTCTCCTGTGAAACAGGAAAATGCTCCAAAACGCCCCAAATTCCTGTGAAATCGGGCTGGGAAATGATGCAAATGCCCAAAATTCTAATTTTTGCACCTCTAACCCCCAAAATCCTGGCTGCTTTCTGCCCTGATGGAGCCAGGAGAGCCCTCAGGGCATCCCCCCAGGATGGTTCCCCCGATGGTGACAGGGGAGACAAGAAGAAACAAAAAAGCTTCAAAACCACAAGCCTGGCTTTGCCCCCACAGATTTCAGGGGGTCCCCACAAACCCGTTGTGCCCCACAAATTTATTTTTACCTTCCAGACACGCTGAGAGCATTCACAAGTGTTTCTTTACTTCCTGCAGAGCAAAAAATTGAGCGGGGGGGAAAAAAAATAGACGCGAGCAACGATCTCTGCTCACCTGCAGGGCTGGCTGCGCAGCTGACAGCTCCAGGGGTGCCCCCAGAGCAGTTTCTGCACCCCTAAATCTCCTCTGAACCCCACAGCTGCAGCCCAGGCTGGCTCTGAGGTGTTTTTGGGGGAGCTTTGAGCTCAGCCTGCAAAGCCAGCAGGGCTCGGGGAGCAGAGATGCTGCTGGGCAGGGTCGTGAGCTCAAGGCTGAGCTCTGCAAAGCTCGGTTTAAAAGGGGTTTAAAAGGGTTGCAGGGGGTTAAAAAGAGTTGCCCCAGCAGCTGCAAGAGAGGTTTGAAGTGTGGCACAGGAGGTTTGAGGGTGGCAGTGTCACAGGCCAGGAGCTGCTGTCACATCTCCGCAGCCACGGCTGCTCGGGGGCACCTCCAGCTCTCTGCACCTGGGATTTGGGGCACCCCAAAACTGGGGTTGCATCTTTCCCTGCCTCTATAAAGAGTTTGGAGCATCCCAGAGATTGGGGTTGTATCTTTCCCTGCCTCTATAAAGAGTTTGGAGCATCCCAAATATTGGGATTTCTTTCCCTGCTTTGATAAAGGATTTGGAGCATCCCAAAGATTGGGGATTGTAATTTTTTGCCTCTATAAAAGATTTGGAGCATCCCCAATATTAGGATTTCTTTTCCTGCCTCTATAAAGGGTTTGGAGCATCCTAAATATTGGGGTTCTATCTTTCCCCGCCCTGATAAAGGATTTGGAGCATCCCAAATATTGGGATTTCTTTCCCTGCCTCTATAAAGGGTTTGGAGCATCCCAAAATATTGGGATTTCTTTCCCTGCTTTGATAAAGGATTTGGAGCATCCCAAAGATTGGGGATTGTATTTTTTTGCCTCTATAAAAGATTTGGAGCATCCCCAATATTAGGATGTGATCCCACCCCCCAATCCCAACGGCCCCTCCAGATGTGGGGCCCTCCTTTGTCACAGCAGAAAGGCCGCGGCCCCAAGTGACAGGAGGTGACAGTTGTGCGCACGTGAAGCGTGGCCTGCCCCCCCCCCCGGGTGCCCCCGGAGCTGTGCAGGGCCCGTGGGAAATCCTGTGATCAACATTTGAATATTTCCCCCCAAAACAGCCCCGGCTCTGCCGTGAGGCTGAGGAAGGTCCCTGGTCCATCATTGCTGCTGGGATCAGGGAAAAGCCCCAAATTCCTGAGCCTTCTCCTGCTAAAGCCCCTCTGCTCTTCCCCAGATCCAAACAAAAATCCCCTAAACAAATGAAAAAAACAAAACACAAAAAACCCCAACAAAACCCCAAAACAACAACTACAACAACAAAAATAAAAAATCCCCCAAATCCTTCCCCCAAAAAAAAACAAACAAAAATGGAGATAAAAAGCCTCTTTCCCTTCCTGCCCACCTGGAGTGTGGAAAACCCGCTCAGATCATTTCTTGGGGTGCTAAAAACTGCTGGAATTCCTCACACCAACCCCAGGGGCACATCCTGAGGGGAATTTGATCCAGGGACGTGATCTGGGATTTTAGCCACAAATATTTCCTTCACTTATTTTTCCCCTCTTCAAAATTGCATTGAGAGAAGGATCCCAAACCCCCCGGGCCAAGGTGGGACCCTCAAAGTCCCCAGGGAGCTGCACAGGAGGGAGCCAAGGCAGAAACTTCCAGAAGGAATCGTGGAGAAAGCTGCAGGGTGAGAGAGGAGGAGCTGGGAGGGAGGGAGGGACACCTCTGTCCCCAAGGGACAGGGAGGTGACAGCACAGCACCTATCGTGGCCCCCCAGCTGCTGCTGCAGCTCCAGCTGTGGCTCTGGGGCTGCCATCCTTGGGGACTTTATCAGGGATTGTCCCCTCCTTGGGGCTGCCATCCCTGGGGACTTTATCAGGGATTGTCCCCCCTCTCCTGCCCTACTATCAATGCTCAATTTCCAAAAAGGGCAGGAATTGTTCCAAAAAAGGCAGGAATTGTTCCAAAAGGGGCAGGAATTGTCCCAAAAAGGGCGGGAATTGTCCCAATAAGGGCTGAGTTGTCCCAAAAAGGGCGGGGATTGTCCCAAAGAGGGCTGAGTTGTCCCAAAAAGGGCGGGAATTGTCCCAAAAAGGGCGGGGATTGTGCCAAAAGAGGCAGGAATTGTTCCAAAAGGGGCAGGAATTGTCCCAAAAAGGGCGGGAATTGTCCCAAAAAGGGCTGAGTTGTCCCGGAATCAGCAGCACATCCCGAGCAGCTGCTGCCACCCCGCACCTCTGCCTCAGCCCTGGTGTCCCCTTGTGGCTTCTGAGGTCCCCAAAGGCACCAAACTGCCCTGCCAGGCTGGTGGGGAGGGCTGGCAGGACCCCAAAAAGGCTGCGGGGCTTTGTGGGTTCAGTTCTGGGTGTAAAGGGATGGCAGGATCCCAAAAAGGCTTCAGAAGTTGGGTGGGTTTAGTTCTGGGTGTAAAAGGACACCAAAATGACCCCAAAAAGGCTGCGGGGGTTTGTGGGTTCAGTTCTGGGTTGCAAGAGGTGAGAGGATGATTTTTAGGGACACTGCTCCTTCTGAAGTCAAGGAAAACCTGAAAAAACCAAATTTTTTTTGAGGGAGGAGGGGAAAAAATGGTCCTTGAAAGAAACCCAAAGTTGTTCAAGAGATTTAAGAACCCTCCCTCTCCCAGCAGCTTTTGCAGGATTTCTCCCCTTTCCCTGAAGATCCTTTTCTCTCTTTTTTTTGGAGCACAGATGAATAAACCCCAGGCTTTGTTCTTAGCAAGGATCTTTTATCAGCTCCTTGCCCTGATAGCCCCAATTTTCATTTCATCTGCAAATGGGGCCGGGGAACTGATCTGATCAAACAAGAACCAGCCCAAAGCCCAGCTCTAAACTCAGCTGGAGCTGCTGAGAGGCTCCGAGGAGTTCACACAACTCCCTGCATTTCATCCACCCTTATTCCTTCTGTCATTCCAGGATCCCACTGGGAAGGAAAAAAAAGGACTTTTCATCAACGTCCAGGCTCGGATTTAGGGATTTTCTCCAAGTGACAGGTTTAATGAGCAGGAGAAGGTGACAAGAGTTGCTGTCACCCATCCTGTCACTGCAAGGAGCTGCTCAGCTCTGACAGTCAAACCCTGCTGCTTCTGCAGCTCTTCTCCTAAAATTGTTTTAAAACCAGCTCGTTTTAGGTCCAAGGCTCCTGGTCTGGGAATCCCAAAATCAGAATTTGTCTCTAGGATCCAAGGATTGGGGAGTACAGAGGGAGAAACCTGCAGAGCTCCTCTGTTCCCTCAGCATCCCAAAATCTGCTTTTCCACGGGAAATGGGCTGAGCTTGTATCACCTGAGCTGCACCAAAAGAAAAAAAAAATCAAAAATAAAAGAAGTTTGGATCCGTGTTCTCATCCCTTTGGATCCCAGAACTCCAGGCAGGGGATGGGAGCAGAGAATTCTCGAGTGCCTGGGACCAGCCTGGAGCTGGGGGTGAAATTCCTGCTGGATTAGCTCTGGGATGGCAAGGAGCAGCTCTGACACCAGTGGCTGCTGAAATCAAAGACCCAAAATAAAAACCCATCAAATCCTGGAAGCAGGGATGATGTTTGATATTCCAGAGAGATCCCGGGAGCTGCTGCAGCTCATCCTGCTGGAGCAGAAACTTCCAGAAGGATCCACGGGGTGTCCATGCCCTGCAGGATTCCAGCTCTCCCAAGAGCTCTCCAGTGGAGCTGGGAATTTGGGAGCACCCCCAGGGCCCTGTGATTTCCTGGAATTTGTTGATTTGTGGGATCCAAGAGGCAGATTCTCCCCCGTGGTTATTGAGAGGTTTGGATAAACCTCTCCAGGTTTTTCTCTGGAAAAAATCCCTCTTGGAATATCCTAATTCCCACCTTGAGAGGTTTTGGCATCCTGGAAATTCTTCCTCACTCTCTGTGCCTGTGGGATCTTTGGGAAAAGTGGAAATTCCAGCTGGGAGCACTCAGAGCTCACCCAGACCTCACTGGGAATTCCCTTCTGGAACAAATTCCTCTTCCAAATAACGAATCCAGGGAGAAAACTCCAAGATTTTCACTTCCAGAGTCTTTAATAACCACAAATTGCCACCAATAACGCTTGAACAAACAAATAACATTCCTCAGGTATTAAAAAAAAAATGTCTCAAAACTCAAAATAAAACATAAAACTCAAGAGCTTCACGGCTTTAAACTCTCCACGCTGGAGTTTCCATTCCTGGCAGGCACAACCCAATGTCCACAAGGGGGAAAAAAACCCCAAAAACATTCCCAAAAATTCTGTTTATCCCCTGCTGGCCCAGCAGCAGCTTCCTGAGCACATCAAGTGTTGGTCAGTGTCAAACTGCACCCAAAATCTGAGGATTTTACCCAAAGAATTTGGGGGCTCAGAGGAATTTTCAGTCTCGGGGTGGATTTTTTTTTTTTTGGGGGGGGGGGTAAATTTGCTTTCTTAGCTTATTTACCTTTGAGCGGCGCGTGCGCACAGCTCCATATGGCTCCAAGATGGCTGACACAGCGTCCGGGGGCTCCGGCACGGTAACGGCGCCTAGTCCCCGGGGCGCGGGGCCGCGAGGGCGGGTTCCTGGCGGGTTCCCGGCGGGGCCGGGCGGGGCGGCAGCGCCCGATCCCTCCGGGGTGCGGAGGCGGCCGCGGCCAGGCCGCGGAGCGTGGAGGCGGCGGGTGGAGAGAGGGAGGCGCTGATTGGCTGGAGGGTCTGAGGGGAGGCGGGGTTTGATTGGCTGAGGATGGCGCGCTCCAATTGGCTGATGGGGGTGGGGCGGGGCTTGTGGGGGGTCCTTAAAGGAGCCGCTTCCCAAAAAGTGTCTGGGAGGTTCTGTAAAGACGGTCTGTAAATATATGTACATATAAAAATATTTATATATATATATATATGTACACGTGCCCACGTGTGTATGTGAGTGTATAGGACACACACGTGTGTGTACCTGTGTTCCCGCTGTGTCACCCTTCCCATTACCTGCTCCTAAACCTTTTCCAATCCTTGCTCCATGTCCCTTCCCAGTCCCTGCTCCATGTTCCTTCCCCCTGCTCTGTGACCCTTCCCTGCTCCCAAGTCCCTGCTCCCAAGCCCTTGCATTACCTGCTCCCTGCCCCATCCCATCCCATGGATCCCATCCCATGGATCCCATCCCATGGATCCCATTCAATCTCTTCCCATCCCATGGATCCCATCCCATGGATCCCATCTCATGCCATCCCATGGATCCCATCCCATGAATCCCATCCCATGGATCCCATTCAATGGATCCCATTCAATCTCCTCCCATCCCATGGATCCCATCCTATCCCATGGATCCCCTCCCATCCCATCCCATGGATGCCATCTCATCCCATCCCATGGATCCCATTCAATGGATCCCATTCAATCTACTCCCATCCCGTGGATCCCATCCCATCCCATCCCATCCCATCCCATCTCATGGATCCCATCCTATCCCATAGATTCCCTCCCATCCCATCCCATGGATCCTATTCCATCCCATCCATCCCCTCCCATCCCAATCTCTGTTCCCTGTGCCAGCGGGCGGGCAGCAAGCAGGCGGGCACCCCCGCAGACAATTCCCATGGATCCCATGGATCCCTGTCTGTGTTTCCCTGGCAGAGGGCGGGCAGCAAGCAGGCGGGCACCCCCGCAGACAATTACCAGCTGGCGCGGCGCCGCACGCTGCAGGTGGTGGTGAGCTCGCTGCTGACCGAGGCCGGCTTCGAGAGCGCCGAGAAGGCGGCGGTGGAGACGCTCACCGAGATGATCCAGAGCTGTGAGTGCCCCCTGCCCCCCTGGGATTGCCCCCTGCCCGTCCAGGATCCGGGATCTGGGATCCTGCTCTTCACTGGCCGCTGGCCGGGCAGGGAGCTTTGAGGTCGTCGAGGGCAGCGCAGCTCTGACAGCGCCAATAAGTCTGAGCAAAAATCAGCCCCCAGTGCGAGGCACAAGTCCCTGCAATCATTCCAAGGCACAAATCCCAGAAATCTGCCCCAAATCCGAGGCACCAATCCCAAAAATCAGCCCCAAATCCGAGGCACAAATCCCTGGAATCAGCCCCCAGTGCGAGGCACAAATCCCAGAAATCTGCCCCAAATCCGAGGCACCAATCCCAAAAATAGCCCTCAATGCAAGGCACAAATCCCTGGAATCAGCCACAATCCAAGGCACCAATCCCAAAAATCAGCCCTCAATGCAAGGCACAAATCCCTGGAATCAGCCACAATCCAAGGCACCAATCCCAAAAATCAGCCCCCAGTGCGAGGCACAAGTCCCTGCAATCATTCCAAGGCACAAATCCCAGAAATCTGCCCCAAGTCCAAGGCATAAATCCCAAAAATCAGCCCCAGTCCAATGCACCAATCCCTGCAGTCACTCCAAGGCACAAATCCCTGGAATCAGCCCTAGTCCAAGGCACCACTCCCAAAAATCAGCCCCCAATTCCTGCAATCAGCCTCAATCCAAGGCACAAATCCCAAAAATTAGCCCTCAATCCAAGGCACAAATCCCAAAAATCAGCCCCCAGTCCCTGGCACAAATCCCTGGATTCACCCCCACCCCTCCCAGTTCAAGGCACCAGTCCCTGCAATCAGCCCCAATCCAAGGCACAAATCCCAAAAATCAGCACAAATCCAAGGCACCAATCCCAAAAATGAGCCCCCACTCCCTTCAATCAGTCCCCCCCAGTCCAAGGCACAAATCCCAAAAATCAGCTCCAGTCCCTGGCACCAATCCCAAAAATGAGCCCCCACTCCCTGCAATCAGTCCCCCCCAGTCCAAGGCACCAATCCCAAAAATCAGCTCCAGTCCCTGGCACGAATCCCAAAAATCAGCCCCCAGTCCCTGCAATCAGCCTTAATCCAAGGCACAAATCCCAAAGATCAGCCCCAGTCCAAGGCACCAACCCCACATCCAATCATTTTTTTAAACACCCCCATGGATGGTGACTCCACCACCTCCCTGGGCAAACCAATCCAACACTTTATCACCTTTCTGTAAAAAACTTTTCCCTGACATCCAGCCTGAATTTCCTTGGCACAGCTGCAGGCTGTGTGCTCTGGCTCTGTCAGTGCCTGCAGACAGAGCCCAGCCCCAGCTGAGCACAGGCACCTTTCAGAGCTGTGCAGGGTGAGGAGGGCACCCCTGAGTCCCCTTTTCTCCAGGTGAGCACCCCCAGCTCCCTCAGTTGCTCCTTACAGGATTTGTGTTCCAGCCCCTCTCCAGCCTCGTTGCCTCAGGAATCTCAAAGTCCTTCCCAAGCTGAGGATGCAGATTTCCCTTTGTGGCAAACACTGATTTTTTTTTTTAATCCTTAGCATCCCCAGGCTTTAATTTCAAACACACACCCTGCAAAATGCTCCATCCCTGGGGTTGTTTTTCATTCCCTGCTAAATTTGTTGACAGTCCCCATCCCTGGGGCTGCCCACGGTGGGAATGAAATCCCTGCTGGTTTTATCCTGCAGATATTTCAGAAATTGGGAGGAGTGCCAAGTCCTACTGCGAGCACACAGCCAGGACCCAGCCCACGCTCTCAGACATCGTGGTGACCCTGGTGGAGATGGGTGAGCAGCTCCCTCTTCCCACCTTTGCATTGGAAAATCTGCCCCCAAAATCTGGGATTTGGGCGGTGCCCTCTGCTGTGGCCACACACAGCTGATGGTTTTCCATGATCCTTCCCACGATCTGCTCCCTGGCTCATCCCATCCTTGTTTAATTTGGAAAAACCTCTGGATTTTGACAGGATAAATTCCTGTTTTCCTCTTTTGTCTTCCAGGCTTCAACGTGGAAACTCTTCCCGCCTACGCCAAGCGTTCCCAGAGGATGGTGATCACTGCCCGTGGGTGGGGGACCTTCCCTGGGCTGCAGGGGGCTGGGAATAGCCTGGAATTCCTCTCTGCTGCTTTCCAGGAAGCTCCTGATGAGCTTTCCGTGGGATAATCCCAGGAATTCGGGGCTGCTGTATTGGGGTGAAGGGACCCGGGTGACTCGGGAGAGCCCTCGGGGGGTTTTGTCTGCAGGGGTCAGGGGATCCCTTTTCCTTCTGGGATGCCAATCCCAAGGTCATGGCATGGCCTTGGGTGGGCTCAGAGCTTTGGGGGACCCTGGGCAGGAGGAATCCTGTGTTCTCCCTGATTCCTGCATTGTTGTCCCTGATTCCTGTGCTGTTCTCCCTGATTCCTCTGCTGTTTTCCCTGATTCCTGTATTGTTTTCCCTGATTTCTGTGCTGTTCTCCCTGATTCCTGTGTTTGTTTTCACTGATTCCTGTGTTTTCCCTGATTCCTGTGTTGTTTTCCCTGATTCCTCTGCTGTTCTCCCTGATTCCTGTGCTGTTCTCCCTGATTCCTGTGTTTGTTTTCACTGATTCCTGTGTTTTCCCTGATTCCTGTGTTGTTTTCCCTGATTCCTCTGCTGTTCTCCCTGATTCCTGTGCTGTTCTCCCTGATTCCTGTGTTTGTTTTCACTGATTCCTGTGTTTTCCCTGATTCCTGTGTTGTTTTCCCTGATTCCTCTGCTGTTCTCCCTGATTCCTGTGCTGTTCTCCCTGATTCCTGTGTTTGTTTTCACTGATTCCTGTGTTTTCCCTGATTCCTGTGTTGTTTTCCCTGATTCCTCTGCTGTTCTCCCTGATTCCTGTGCTGTTCTCCCTGATTCCTGTGTTTGTTTTCACTGATTCCTGTGTTTTCCCTGATTCCTGTGTTGTTTTCCCTGATTCCTCTGCTGTTCTCCCTGATTCCTGTGCTGTTCTCCCTGATTCCTGTGTTTGTTTTCACTGATTCCTGTGTTTTCCCTGATTCCTGTGTTGTTTTCCCTGATTCCTCTGCTGTTCTCCCTGATTCCTGTGCTGTTCTCCCTGATTCCTGTGTTTGTTTTCACTGATTCCTGTGTTTTCCCTGATTCCTGTGTTGTTTTCCCTGATTCCTCTGCTGTTCTCCCTGATTCCTGTGCTGTTCTCCCTGATTCCTGTGTTTTCCCTGATTCCTGTGTTTGTTTTCCCTGATTCCTGTGCTGTTTTCCCTGATTCCTGTGTTTTCTGTGATTCCTGTGCTGTTCTCCCTGATTCCTGTGCTGTTTTCCCTGCAGCTCCAGTGACAAACCAGCCAGTGACCCCGAAAGCCCTCACAGCTGGGCAGAACAAGCCTCACCCACCCCACATTCCCGGCCATTTCCCAGAGTTCCCAGATCCTCACACCTACATCAAGACCCCAGTGAGTGAAAACAACATTTTGTGCTGTTTGGGCTCTGTTTGAATCCCAGGAGTTGGGGTGGTTTTACTGCAGTGCTGCTGCCATCTATCCAAAATATTTCTCCTGAACTGACACATTCCTTCTTTGTGGGTTGTGGACATGCCTTGCCATCCAGAAATCAGCCAGAATCCCTGGATTTCTGTCTGATTTTTCTGCTGGTTTTTGAAGTCCAGAACCCCAGAAGTGGTTTTTTTTTTGTTTGTTTGTTTGGTTTTTTTTTTGGTTTTTTTTTTACTGCAGCACTGTGCTATTTATCCAAAGTGTTGTTTTTCCTGGCTTTGAATATTCCTTGTTTGTGGCTCGTGGACATCCCTTGGGATGGGATCCTTCCCATTACCTGCTCCCAGACCCTTCCCAGTGCAGAATCCCTGGATTTCTGCCTACTGGACTCCTGTAACTTTCCAAAGTTACTCCTGTAACTTTCCTGTAACTTTTCCACTTTTTCCTGTGGGTGCTGAAGAGCAGAGCCTGCAGCTGCTCCATCCCTGGGATGTTTGTTTGGAAGTGGAGATGCTCCATCCCTGGGAAGTTTGGGAGTGGAGCTGCTCCATCCCTGGGATATTTGGAGGTGGGGATGGAGTGAAGTTTGGAGGTGGAGCTGCTCCACCACTCCTCCATCCCTGGGATATTGGGAGGTGCAGCTGCTCCATTTCTGGGATGTTTGTTTGGAGGTGCAGCTGCCCCATCCCTGTGCATTTTGGGGGTGCGGCTGCCCCATTCCTGTGCAGTTTGGAGGTGCAGCTGCCCCATCCCTGTGCAGTTTGGAGGTGCAGCTGCTCCATCCCTGTGCAGTTTGGGGATGCAGCTCCTCTATCTCTGTGCAGTTCGGAGGTGCAGCTGCCCCATTTCTGTGCAGTTTGGAGGTGCAGCTGCCCCATTTCTGTGCAGTTTGGGGGTGCAGCTCCTCTATCTCTGTGCAGTTTGGAGGTGCAGCTGCTGAATTCCTGTGCAGTTTGGGGGTGCAGCTGCTCCATCCCTGTGCAGTTTGGAGGTGCAGCTGCTGAATTTCTGTGCAGTTTGGAGGTGCAGCTGCCCCATCCCTGTGCAGTTTGGGGGTGCAGCTGCCCCATTTCTGTGCAGTTTGGAGGTGCAGCTGCCCCATCCCTGTGCAGTTTGGAGGTGCAGCTCCTGAATTTCTGTGCAGTTTGGAGGTGCAGCTGCCCCATCCCTGTGCAGTTTGGGGGTGCAGCTCCTCCACCTCTCCTCCCTCCCGTTCTTGCCCCGCCCAGACGTACCGGGAGCCGGTGTCCGATTACCAGGTGCTGCGGGAGAAGGCGGCCTCGCAGCGCAGGGACGTGGAGAGAGCCCTCACCCGCTTCATGGCCAAGACTGGAGAGACCCAGAGCCTCTTCAAGGACGATGTCAGCACATTCCCACGTCAGTCACTGCAAGATTTCACATCCCCTTAGGGTTTGGGAATCATCCCCTGCCTGGAGTTTGAGGTGCTGGGTGTGGGAATCCTTAAAATTAGAGGGTTTTGCGAGAGGATTTAAGGATTGCCTCAATGGAAGGTTGGGGAAGGAGGGGTTTGGGGGTTAAAATGGGGAAGAAAAGCAGAAAGCAGTTCCTCAAGGTTCACTTTTTTCTCCTGGTGGAGAAGGCCTAAATCCAAATCTCATCCCAATCCTGGCTCCACCCCCTGTAACCTCACCAAGGAATTTCTTCTCCCTGACATTTTCCTGCTGCTGGAAATTTTCCCCTCTCTGCCTGCAGAGCAGATGAGGATTCCCACTTTCCCAAGGCTTGCTGGCAGCACAGCTTCATTTAAGAGAAACCCAATGTCCCAGATAATCGGGATTTTGTGGTGGAGCTCAGGAAGGATTTTCTGTGTAGGAACACTGCTGGAAACATGAAGAGATTCAGAAAATTGGGAGGCAGAGACTGCCATCTTTTAGGGATCAGAAAATTGGGAAGCAGTAGAGACTGCCATCTTTTAGGGATCAGAAAATTGGGAAGGAGAGACTGCCATCTTTTAAGGATCAGGATTTCCTTCCTGATCCTTGGGAACAGCAGGAAAAGGAAATGCATCCAAACCCAGAACCAGCGAAATGTTTGATCTCTGTAACTTAGTCCTTAATTTCTGAGGGCAAGAATTTCTCCCAGCTTCCTGACTGTGTCTCCTCTTTTCCCTGCTGCCAGTGATTGCTGCCAGGCCTTTCACTGTGCCCTACCTGACAGCTCTGCTCCCCTCCGAGCTGGAGATGCAGCAGATGGAGGAGACGGATTCCTCGGAGCAGGACGAGCAGACGGACACCGAGAACCTCCCGCTGCACATGAGCACGGTGGGGCCACCCTGGGGGGCTCCTGGGGGCCATTCCTGCAGCTTGGAAAGCTGCCTCTGCCTCCTGGGAAATGGGGAGGAATGGAACTGAGCAGTGTCAGGGCTCTCCAGTTTGGAAAACCTGGCTCTGCCTCCTGGGAAATGGGAAATGGAACTGAGCAGTGTCAGGGTTCTTGAGCTTGGAATTCTGGCTGTGTCTCCTGGGAAATGAGAAATGGAACTGAGCAGTGACAGGGTTCCCCAGTTTGGAAGATCTGGCTCTGCCTCCGGGGAGATGGGAAATGGAACTGAACAGTGTCAGGGCTCTCCAGCTTGGAATTCTGTCTTTGTTTCCTGGGAAATGGAAAATGGGAAATGGAACTGAGCAGTGTCAGGGTTCTCCAGTTTGGAAAACCTGCCTCTGCTTCCTGGGAAATGGGGAAGAATGGAACTGAGCAGTGTCAGGGCTCCCCAGTTTGGAAAACCTGGCTCTGTGTCTTGGGAAACAGGGAATAATGGAACTGAACAGTGTGAGGGTTCCTCAGTTTGGAATTCTGGCTGTGCCTCCTGGAAATGGGAAATGGAATTGAACAGTGTCAGGGTTCTTGAGCTTGGAATTCTGGCTCTGTTTCCTGGGAAATGGAACTGAACATTCTCAGGGTTCTCCAGTGTGGAATTCTGGGTGTGCCTCCTGGGAAATGGGAAGTGGGAAATGGAATTGAACAGTGTCAGGGTTCTTGAGCTTGGAGACCCTGGCTCTGTTTCATGGGAAATGGGCCTAAACATTGTCCTGGTTCTTCAGCTTGGAATTCTGGCTGTGTCTCCTGGGAAATGGGAAATGGCACTGAGCTTTGTCCTGGTTCTTCAGCTCCCTGCAGAGTTCAGTGCAGGACGAGGCTGGAGCAGGAGCTTCCAGGACATCCCAAATTTTCAGTTTCCCAAGGGATTTTCCTGCCTCACAAACCAGGAGGCCTGGCCTCTAACGCAGCTCCTCGTGTGCTTGCTGGTTGATTGTCCATCCTGCCCGCGGGTTCTGGGCTTGGACCTTGGAATCCTGCATGGTTTGGGATGTGAGGGACCACAAAAACCTTGTCCCATGTGCAGGGACCCCTTCCCCTATCCCGGGATTGCTCCAGCCTGGCTTTGGACTCTCCCAGGGAGGCAGCAGCCAGGCATCCTGTGAGCAGAAGCATTTCTAAGCCTGGCTTTGTTGTAGGAATGTGCCCCCTAATGCCAGAGTGGCAAAACTAACCTTTGTCCCCAAAAAAGGAACAAAGCCCAGAAGTTTCTCTCAACGATTAGGTGAAAAGCCACCACATAGGGCCTGAGGGACTTCACCAAACACCAGAGAACATTAAGTGGATGGAAGCCAAAAAGTCCCGCCCGATCAATCGAGTGGAAAAGAACAGAACAAAAGAGAAGAGGGGCTTTTGTGAAGTGTTTCGACCAGGAGCAGACCTCTGCACCTGGCTCGAGTTTTTCTGTTTGTTATTTTGCCTTTTATTAAACCTTTTTTGTTTCTAACACCGCAGCAGAAGCCATCCTGCTTATTTTATGCCCCCAAAGAACACCTGAGCTATCCTTGGGTGCATTAAGTTTTTTTCGAGAGCTTACAAGAACCGGCCCGGGAAAAACAATTTAATACTTTGTGTTTTTTTATTGTTTTTTCCGTGCCAGGAGGACGCAGGAGCCGAGAAGGAGAACACCTCAGTGCTGCAGCAGAGCAGCTCCCTGGCAGGCAGCAGGAACGGCGAGGAGAACGTCATCGACAACCCCTACCTGCGGCCCGTGAAGAAACCCAAAATCCGCAGGAAGAAGTGAGGGGGGACCCGAAATCCCCCTGGGAATTCCCGTGGGATTCCGGCCAGGGCTCAGGAGGGGCAGCCCAGCTGAGGGGGGACCCGAAATCCCCCTGGGAATTCGCCTGGGATTCCAGCCAGGGCTCAGGAGAGGCAGCCCAGCTGAGGGGGGACCCGAAATCCCCCTGGGAATTCCCGTGGGATTCCGGCCAGGGCTCAGGAGAGGCAGCCCAGCTGAGGGGGGACCCGAAATCCCCCTGGGAATTCGCCTGGGATTCCAGCCAGGGCTCAGGAGAGGCAGCCCAGCTGAGGGGGGACCCGAAATTCCCCTGGGAATTCCCGTGGGATTCTGGCCAGGGCTCAGGAGGGGCAGCCCAGCTGAGCGGGGACCTCTCCGTGGTGAACTCCGCTCCCACCCTGGTCTCCCTCTGCTCGCTGCTCCAGGAAATCCAGCTGGGAATTCCCTGGGGGAATTCGGCTCCCGCTGCGGGGATTTAATTTCTGAAGGGCTGAGGGACACGGGGCTCGGGGGGCTTGGATTTGGAGAACCCAGGGACTGGATTTGGATTTGGAGAACCCAGGGACTGGATTTGGGATTGGATTTGGAGGACCAAAGGGTTGGATTTGGATTTGGAGGACACAGGGATTGGATTTGGGTTTGGACTTGGAGAACCCAGGGACTGGATCTGGATTTGGAGGACACAGGGATTGGATTTTAATTTGGGTTTGGAGAACCCAGGGACTGGATTTGGGATTGGATTTGGAGGACCAAAGGGTTGGATTTGGATTTGGAGGACACAGGGATTGGATTTGGGTTTGGACTTGGAGAACCCAGGGACTGGATCTGGATTTGGATTTGGAGGACACAAGGGCTGGAGCTGTGGGACCCAGGGCTTGGATTTGGATTACCCAGCCTTTATTTCCTTTATTTTACCCCTTTATTTCCTTTATTTCCTCCCTTTATTCCCTTTATTTCACCCCATTTTTGTCTGTATTTCACCTCTTTATTTCCTCCCTTTATTCCCTTTATTCCCTCCCTTTATTTCCTTTATTTCCTCTCTTTATTCCCTTTATTTCACCCCTTTTTTGCCTTTATTCCCTCCCTTTATTCCCTTTATTTCCTTTCTTTATTCCCTTTATTTCACCCCATTTTTGCCTTTATTTCACCCCTTTATTTCTTTATTTCACCCCACTGTTGTCGTTATTGGCTGGTTCTGGAGGGTTTTGCTTTCATTTCCCTTCAGCATTTTCTTAGGTAAAATAAAGAAAAAAAATTATTTTTTTGGGTTAAAAAAAGCCAAAAAAAAAAGGTTTTCTTTGGTTTCTTTGGAAAACCCACTTGGGTTTTCTTTAACAAAAATATGGGTTTCAATTTCCATCAGAAAAAGCTCCTGAGCTTTGATCCAATCTCCCAAAAATCCCAATTTCTCCTCCATGCAGTGAAAAGCATCCCCCCTCTTCCCCCATCACCCAGGGAGGACAAAAATTTTTTAAAAAAAGGTTTTTTTTTCAATGATTTCCTGCCAAAAAAATCAGAAATTAAATCTCAAACTCCCCCCCCCTTCTGCTGGTGCCTTGCTTGTACAGAGTGCAAAATGTACAGAAATTACCCTGTAAATGTTTGTATATATCCAAAAATTTTATCTTTTTTTAACTTTTCTTTTTCGTTTTCTGCAAGGAGAAAAATCCCTTGCTGGGTAGGGAAAAAAAAAAAGAAAAAAAAATGGAATGAAAATTGTAGTTTTTATGTTCAAAATAAAAGAAATTTGATTTCCTTACGAGCAAATTGTGATTTTTGTGTTCATCAAAAAGGAATAATAATAATAATTATTTGGTAAAGGCATTTAGTATTATTATGTTCCTTCATTAATTTAAAAATTAAAATGATAAAATTTAAATTAATAAATTAAAATTTCATAAATATTAATTTAATAAAGGAACATAATTCATGATGTTCACAATAAAAGGAATTTTATCTCTTATGAGATAAATTTTAATTGTTAATTAAATGATTTTTAATTAAATTAACAATTATTGAATTTGAATTAGCAGCTGGGTTTGGAAATACAGAAATGAAAGGTTTGAGGGGAGAACAGCTGCCCCAGCAGCAGGAGCTTTCTGTTTCAGGCCACGTTTATTTTTGTGATTCTCACTTTCAAGCTTCTTAAATTAATTTTTTTTTAAAATTAAAAATATTTTTATTTCAGCAGGGAAGGAGCCAAAATGTAAAAATCCTCCCGTCCCAACCCGGCCTCTTTCCCTCAGATGTTTTCAGGGTGATATTTTGGGCACAAAACCAAAAAATTCTCTGAGTGTTAGAATTTGAAATGGGAATTCTTGGGAAATTATTGGGTTTATAAAATGATTTGGTTTATAAAATTATTTGGTATGTAAAATATTTATAAGATATAAAATTATTTGGTATATAAAATTATTTGGTACATAAAATTCTTGGGTGTATAAAATTATGTGTTTATAATCTAAAATTCAGAATTTAAGATTGAATTTGAGGCTTTAAAAAACTTTAAGTACTAAAAATGAAAACACAGATTTATAGTTTAGAGACATGTTAAACTAAGGAAAAGCAAGTTTACAATTTGAATTTTTACTTTGTTTTTATATATTTTAAAATATTTATATATTATATTTTTATATATTATTATTTTATTTCAATCCATTAGCTTAAAATATTTTTTAAAAACATATCTCTGACACTTTTAAAAGACATGAAAACATTTTCAAATATTTGAAATATTTTAAAACGCTTTAAATAAATATTTTAAATATTTAAATAAATAAATATTTTATTTAAATCAATATTTTAAATATTTTAAAACACCTTCCAACTATTTGAAAACCAATTCCGGAGTTGGATTTCTCCCCAAGTGAAAATTGAGCAGAGCAAATTAAAAACATTAAAAACCATTTAAAACCTTCAAAAAGCCTTTAAAATCTTTGATTTATTCATCCTGCTGCTGCGGGTGAGCGTCCCCAAATAAAGATATTTCTGCTCAGCCGTGGTACAGCTTCAGGTACGCCTCTCTGCCTTGGTTCTTCTGGAATTTTTTATCCACAGTCATCTAAAAAAACCCCAAATTTTCATTAAAAACAATAAAAACGCGGCAGAAAATGAAGGGGTGAGACCGAAAATTGGGATTGAAATGAGATTTTTCCACCAGCAGAGCCAGTGGAGGCCACACTGTGATCCTTTTGGGGTGGAAATTGGAGAAAAATTCTGAGGGAAAAGGGTTTTTTTGGGAGGGTTTTGCCAGCAGGGATTGTTTGAGAGAAAATCACTTTGTGTTTTGTGCCCTGGGCGGGGGAAAATGCCAAAAAAATACCAAAAAATTGCGGAAGTGTGAAGGAAAAAAGGGATTTTTTTTTCTCTCAGGAGGAGGAAAAAAGAATAAAACAGGGAAAATGGGAAGTGATAAGGGAATTTTTTATCTCTCAGAAGGTTTGAGGTAGGAAAGGATAAAAAAAGGCGGAGGAAATGGGAAATAAAAAGGAAATTTTCTGTCTCAGAAGCAGGAAAGTACAATAAAATAGTGAAAATATGGAGTAAAAAGGAATATTCCTGTCTCAAAAGCAGGAAAGGAAAATAAAACAGTGAAAATATGAAGAAAAAAGGAAATTTCCTCTCTCAAAAGCAGGAAAGTACAATAAAATAGTGAAAATATGGAGTAAAATGAAATTTCCTGTCTCAAAAGCAGGAAAGGACGGCAAAACAGTGAAAATGGGAAGTGAAAAAAGAGAATTTTCTGTCTCAGAAGCAGGAAAAGAAAACAAAACAGTGAAAATACAAAGAAAAAAGGAAATTTCCTCTCTCAGAAGCAGGAAAGGACAATAAAATACTGAAAATATGAAGTAAAAAGGGAAATTTCCTGTCTCAAAAGCAGGAAAGGACAACAAAACAGTGAAAACGGGAAGTGAAAAAAGGGAATTTTCTGTCTCAGAACACTGAGGCAAAAAGGGATAACAAAACAGTGAAAATATGAAGGAAAAAGGGAATTTCCTGCCTGCAAAGCCCGGAGCCTTCCTCACCTTCTGCACCTGCATCTTCACCATCCTGGGCTCCGGCTGCGGCAGCGCGCCGCGCGCGGGAGCGCCGAAGGCGCCGGGCCACGCCACCTTCCTGCCGAGAGACTCCGGGATGTCGTAGGTGCCAGGCCTGCAGGGAGCGGGGTTTTGGTTATTTCTGTCGTTTATTTGGTGAAATGTGTTTGGGCCGAGTCTCGGGGGTGGTTTTGGTTGAGGTGAAACGGCGGAGGAATTCCAGCGGTGAATGGAATGTCCTCAGTGTTGTAGATATTCTAGAATATTCTGATGTTGACTCAAAGAATTGCGGCGTTAACTTGGGTGTTGTAATAGTAAGCAAAATGTTTTGATGTTAGCCAAAATGTCCCAATGTTAACCAAAATATTCCAATGTTATCTAAAATATCCCAGTGTTATCCAAAATATCCCAGTGTTAACCAAAATGTGCCAATATTAACCAAAATATTCCAATATTATCTAAAATATCCCAGTGTTATCCGAAATATCCTAATGTTAAGCAAAAAATTCCAATATTAACCAAAATATCCCAGTATTGGCCAAAATATCCCAGTGTAATCCAAAATATCCTAATGTTAAGCAAAAAATTCCAATATTAACCAAAATATCCCAGTGTTAACCAAAATGTGCCAATATTAACCAAAATATTCCAATACTAATCTAAATATTTTAAAATTATCCAAAAATATCTCAATGTTAATGAAAATATCCCAATGTTAACCAAAATGTCCCAATATTACCCAAAATATCCTCATATTAACCAAAATGTCCCAATATTAACCTAAATGTCCCAATATTGCCCAAAATCTCCCCATATTAACCAAAAGATCCCACTATTAATCAAAATATCCTAATTTTAAGCAAAATATCCCAGTATTATCCAAAATATCCCAATGGTAACCAAAATGTCCCAATGCCAACCAAAAAATTCCAACATTAACCTAAATATTCTAATGTTAATCAAAAAATTTGAGTGCTGATCAAAACGTCCCAATATTAATCAAAATATCCCAAGGTTAACAAAAAAATTCTAATATTAACCTAAATATTCCAATATTAACCTAAATATTCCAAAATCACCCCATATTAAGCAAAAGATCCCAATATTAATCAAAATATCCTAATGTTAACCAAAAAAAGTCCAGTATTAACTTAAATTATCCAACACATCCCGGCGTTAACCAAAATGTCCCAATATTAACCAATATTTTTTGACATCTAAAGCTTCTTTTTTTGGAGATAAAAAAACCTTTTTGGAGATAAAACATTTTCGGAGACAAAACACTTCATTTTAGCCATAAAAAAACCTCATTTTTGAACATGGAAAAACTGCTTTTTTGGACACGTAAAAGCTACTTCTGGCGCATAAAAAATTTCTTCTTGGAGATAAAAATAATAATTTTGGGGATGAAAGGATTTTTGTTTTTCAGTGAGTGCGGAACTGCGCTTACCCCGGGTAGCGGTCGCGGTCCAGGAGGCGGTTGGGGAAGCGGGGGCTGCTGGAGCAGAACGGGGCCGGGGCCGGGCCGGGCCGGGGGCGCCGCGGCTGCTCCGGGAAGGGCCCGTAGGCGGCGGGGCCGGGAGTGCCGCTCTGCGGGAATCACCGGGAATGCGGCCCGAAACCGCACGCTCCCAGCGGGAATTCGGCATTCCCGCCCCCAATTCGGCATTCTCGCCCCGAATTCGGTATTCCCACCCAAAATTCCACATTCCCAACCAAAATTCCACATTCCCAACCAAAATTCCACATTCCCAACCAAAATTCCACATTCCCAACCAAAATTCCACATTCCCACCCCAAATTCCCACCCAAAACTCCATATTCCCACCCCAAATTCCACTTTCCCACCCAAAATTCCAGCCAGGCCACAGCGCAGCCGGGCTGGGGAATATTTTGGCTGCTTTCCCCTGGCTTTTTGCTGCTTTTCCCCTGTTTTTTGGTCGCTTTCCCCCTCTTTTTCCCTGTTTTTTCCCCTGCTTTCCCCTTCTTTTTTCCCTGCTTTTCCCCTCGTTTTTGCTGCTTTTTCCCTATTTTTTTTTTTCTTTTTGCTGCTTTTCCCCTGTTTTTGGCTGCTTTTCCCGTTTTGTTTTGCTGCTTTTCCCCTGCTTTTTTCTTGCTTTTTCCCTGTTTTTTTCCATTTGGCATTCCCACCCTGAATTCGGCATTCCCACCCCCAATTTGGCATTCTCACCCAGAATTCGGCATTCCCACCCAAAATTCAGCATTCCCACCCCCAATTCGGCATTCTCACTCCAAATTCCCAACGAAAATTCCCACCCAAAACTCCACATTCCAACCCCAAATTCGGCATTCTCACCCCACATTCCCACTCAAAACTCCACATTCCCAACCAAAATTTGGCATTCCCAACCAAAATTCGGCACTCCCACGCCAAAATTCCACATTCCCAACCAAAATTCCACATTCCCACCCCAAATTCCCACCCAAAACTCCATATTCCCACCCCAAATTCCACTTTCCCACCCAAAATTCCAGCCAGGCCATGGCGCAGCCGGGCTGGGGAATATTTTGGCTGCTTTCCCCTGGCTTTTTGCTGCTTTTCCCCTGTTTTTTGGTCACTTTCCCCCTCTTTTTCCCTGTTTTTTCCCCTGCTTTCCCCTTCTTTTTTCCCTGCTTTTTCCCTCGTTTTTGCTGCTTTTTCCCTATTTTTTTTTTTCTTTTTGCTGCTTTTCCCCTGTTTTTGGCTGCTTTTCCCGTTTTGTTTTGCTGCTTTTCCCCTGCTTTTTTCTTGCTTTTTCCCTGTTTTTTTCCTTGCTTTTCCCCTTCTTTTTTGGCTGCTTTTCCCCTGGTTTTTTTTGCTGCTTTCCCCCTGATTTCCCCCTGCTTTCCCCTTCTTTTTTCCCTGCTTTTCCCCTGTTTTTCCTTGCTTTCCCCTCTTTTTTGTCTGCTTTTCCCCTGTTTTTTTTTTTTTTTTCTGCTTTTCCCCTTTTTTTTTGGCTGATTTTCCCCTGGTTTTTTGCTGCTTTTTCCGTCTTTTTTTGGTTTTTTTTTTTTTCTTTTTGCTGCTTTCCCCCTGATTTCCCCCTGCTTTCCCCTTCTTTTTTCCCTGCTTTTCCCCTGGCTTTTTTTGCTGCTTTCCCCCTGATTTCCCCCTGCTTTCCCCTTCTTTTTTCCCTGCTTTTCCCCTGGCTTTTTTTGCTGCTTTCCCCCTGATTTCCCCCTGCTTTCCCCTTCTTTTTTCCCTGCTTTTCCCCTGTTTTTTTGCTGCTTTTTCCCTCTTTTTTTGGTTTTTTTTTTTTTCTTTTTGCTGCTTTTCCCCTGCTTTTTTCTTGCTTTCCCCCTCTTTTTTCCCTGCTTTTCCCCTGGCTTTTTTTGCTGCTTTCCCCCTGATTTTCCCCTGCTTTCCCCTTCTTTTTCGGCTGCTTTTCCCCTCTTTTTTTGCCGTTTTTTCCTCTTTTTGGCGCTCCCCTCACCTGAGCCTTCTGCGGGAAGCGCGGGGCCGTCCTGGCTCCCACCACGTAGCCCAGGGTGCTCAAGGGCCGGCTGCTCACGGATGATTGCAGGACGTTACTCTGCAGTTTGGGGGCCAAAACCATTTCTTGACATTCTTTAAAGGCATCCTTTGCAGGGCAGAATTACCTGAGCAGCAAATGTTAATCCTAATAGGGTTATTCCTAATTATTCCCTTAATTTCTGACTATTGCAGAGCCTTGAGCACCAGTTGGAAAAGGAGATAATTCCTTTTTCCAGGAAAATTTCCTTTTTCCATCTTGCAGTGGATTTGCATGAGCAGCAGATACTATTCCTATAAAACTTATTCCTAATTATTCCCTTGATTTCTCACTATTCCAGAACATCAAGGATTGGTTGGGAAAGGAGATAATTCCTTTTTCCAGGAAAATTTCCTTTTTCCATCCTGCAGTGGGTTTGCATGGGCAGGAGTGCATGATATTTTTCCTATTAAACTTATTCCTAATTATTCCCTTAATTTCTGACTATTCCAGAACCTCAAGGATCAGTTGGGAAAGGAGATAATTCCTTTTTCTAAGAAAATTTCCTTTTTCCATCCTGCAGTGGGTTTGCATGAGCAGCAGATACTTTTCCTATTAAACTTATTCCTAAAAATTCCCTTAATTTCTGACTATTGCAGAGCCTGGAGTAGAGGAGATCATTCCTTTTTCCAGGAGGATGTGGGACATCCTGCAGTGGGTTTGCAGGGCACAATTACCTGAGCAGCAAATGCTATTCCTAATAGAGTTATTCCTAATTATTACCTTAATTTCTCACTATTGCAGAGCCTCAAGGGTCGGTTAGGAAAGGAGATAATTCCTTTTTCCAGGAAAATTTCCTTTTTCCATCCTGCAGCAGGTTTGCAGGGCAGGATTGCAGCATGAAAAGCAGATACTTTTCCTATTAAACTTATTCCTAATTATTCCCTTAATTTCTCACTATTGCAGAGCCTCAGGGATCAGTTGGGAAAGGAGATAATTCCTTTTTCCAGGAAAATTTCCTTTTTCCATCCTGCAGTGGGTTTGCAGGGCCGGAGTGCATGGTACTATTCCCATTAAACTGATTCCTAATTATTCCCTTAATTTCTCACTATTGCAGAGCCTCAAGGATTGGCTGGGAAAGGAGATAATTCCTTTTTGCAGGAAAAATTCCTGTTTCCATCTTCCTGTTTTCCAAATCCATGCAGTGCACTTGCATGAGCAGCAGATACTTTTCCTATTAAACTTATTCCTAACAATTCCCTTAATTTTTCACTCTTCCAGAGCCTGGAGTAAATGAGATAACTCCTTTTTCCAGAAGGACGTGGGACATCCTGCAGTGGGTTTGCAGGGCAGGAGTGCATGTTACTATTCCCATTAAACTTATTCCTAATAATTCCCTTAATTTCTGACTATTCCAAAGCCTGGAGTAAATGAGATAACTCCTTTTTCCAGAAGGATGTGGGACATCTTGCAGTGGGTTTGCAGGGCAGGAATGCAGCATGAAAAGCAGATACTATTCCCATTAAACTTATTCCTAATAATTCCCTTAATTTCTGACAATTCCAAAGCCTGGAGTAAAGGAGATAATTCCTTTTTCCAGGAAAACTTCCTTTTTCCATCCTGCAGTGGGTTTGCATGAGCAGGAGTGCATGTTACTATTCCCATTAAACTTATTCCTAACAATTCCCTTAATTTCTGACCATTCCAGAGCCTGGAGTAAAGGAGCTAATTCCCTTTCCCAGGAGGATGTGGGACATCTCCCAGCAGGTTTTCAGGGCAGGAGTGGCCCTGTAACTCCTGTTCCTCCCATAACAGACCCCGAAATGAAGGAAGAGCTCACCTGTGGCCCCAGGTAGGAGCCTGGCCCCAGCGAGGGGCTGCCCCTCACCCCCAGCCCCTCGATGCCCAGCCTGTCTGGGGCACAGTGGTACGGGAACATCTTCCGTTCTTGAGTCGTCCCAAAGGAGATGGGCTTGGCCACAGCTGGGGGACGGGCACAGGGAAATGCCAGAGGTGGGATAGACAGGGAAAAAAAAGAGAGAAAAGAGAAAAAAGGGTGACCACGGGCTGCTCTCTGCCTTCATCCCCCTGGCCTGGGGTGTTTGAGAGGGCTCTGCCCTCTGCTCAAAGCCACGAGGGGCTGGGAGGAATCTGGGATTTGTCTTTCCAAACAAGCTGTGGGTCTGCTGGTAGATAAAACCAGCACTGGGAGATAAAAGAAACGATGGGAAGGATTCCACTGGTGGATGAATGGGGAAAAAAGATATTTGCCTTTACAAATAAACTTTAGGTTGGCTGTTAAATGAAACTGGATATTGAAATAATCAATAAATAATCAAACTGGATATTGAAATAATAAAGAAACAGTGGGGGAAAACCCTAAATTCCACAAGAATTAAAAATGAAAAGGGAGGGTTGTACATTAGAGGGAAACCTCTGGTATTAGAGAAGTTTTGGGAAGTCTGAACATATCAAGTACCTCAGAAATGGGGAAAGAGAGAGAGAAATTGGGATAAAAAGGAGGCTGCATCCTCCAAAAGTTGGAGAGACCCCAGGGAATGCCCCACGGCCTCTCCCTTCATTGCAATAAAGTCAAAGCACCCCTCTGTCTCCCCTTTGGACACAAACCTCTGATGTTTGTGCGCTAATATTCCTGGCAGCGCTGATTTTTCCCAGCCTGAGCAGGGAATTGGGATCTGAGAAGATCCTGCAGAAGCTGCTGGCATCAGGGGGTGAAGGAGAAGAAGCCCTGGGTGCCCCGTGCCCGGGCAGCTCTCACCTTTGGCGTCGTGCCGCGCTGCCATCCCGGCCTGGCACGGCTGCAGGGGGGTGGCAGCAGGGGCAGGGAGCGGGGAGCAGCCCAGGGTTGGGCATTTCCCTCTGGAATGCGCTGGGCTGGCTCCGGGAGCAGCCTGGCCTTGTGAGGTCACAGCCCTGGCGGTGGGACAGCGGCTCCTGCCTCGGTTCCCATGGCACTGCCAGGGTGGGGCAGCAAAAAAATCCCCGGCTGGGAGGAAATGCAAGCCCTGCCCCGAGCACAAGTGTGAGGGTTAGAGATACAGGCTATAACATTGGCTTTTTGCAAATATTAAAATGCATTTTATATGGGTGATGCCAAAGTAACTTTGTTATAAAGATACAGTTTTTATTTCTGTTGTTAATTAAGCTTAGACATAGTAGTGAAATAGAGAATAGTGAATTTTGTGTTAAAATGCCTGCTTGGATGGGATAACACCCAGTGAACAGGACGAGGACACCTGCACAGACCTGCCCAGCATCAGCATCTGCTGCCTGCAGACAGTGTGGAGCAAGGCCAGACCGAGTGATAAAGAGAAGGAGCCCAGGAACACACCTGCTCTAAAAAGGCAGACCAAGGAGGGGCCATGAAAATAGCTCCTGAATATGTAAACCGGTTTATGGATATGCATAAGGGTCTGTGAATATGCTCCAGGATGATGTAATTAAAAGGTAATTTTTAAAAGGTATTTAAGGGGTATCCCCGAGGATAACAGGGTGCTCTGGCTGACCCAATAACCTTTGTCCTTGTCTCCTATTGGCCTTCATTAAACTTTTTACATTTCCACAGGAAAGTTTTTCACCTGAACATCCTGGGAGAATCAGGAAGCGACAAAATACAAAGGACGAGCTGAAGCAGGAAGTTGTTGGTTTTGAGTAAAGCTTTATTGAATCATTGTGTGCAATGGGATCAGAGGGATCACTGGGCTGGATCAGGATCAGGATCAGGATTGGGATCAGGATCGGGATCAGGATCAGGATGTGTCACCGGCCCTGCAGCTCCTCCTGCACTCCCACTGCCACCTGCACCTCCAGCAGCTGCAGGGACGTGAGGACTGTGCTGTGCAGCCTGGAAAAAAACAGGATTTTCCTTGGTGTGGTAGATGAGGAATGCCATGGCTGACTCTCACAATTAAAAGGCAAATGTCATGTATATCTGTTAGGAGAAGTTTTATAGATTTATAGTTATGTTTTACCCCCCCCACCTTGTGTTGTTTTCAGGGGGTGGCCCGGGTTTGGGACATTTGGGAGGGTGGGATTGTTACTATGGCAACAGCTGACCTGCAATCAAGACTTAAGGAAGTGATCACCACCACTGGACAGCAAAGAAGGAGTTGATGGACAGAACTTTGGACAGAGCTAAAGGGTTAAAAGGCAAAACCTCCATTGTGTGGGTGAGCACATGCTCGGGAAAACACCCTTTAATATTTTCTCTATTCAGTCTTGCGTTATATTTTTGATAAGGTTTAAATAAACCCTATAAATTTTTTGGAAGTGAGCGAGAGACACACTGGGGAAGGGATGACGTTTGCAATGCCCCCCTTGCACCCCTTTGGGGCACACAGCCCGTGTCCCTCCTGTCACTCACTGCCCGTTCACAGCCCCAGGCCCCTCTTCAGGCTGGAGATCAGGGGGTATTTGCCCTGGTGGCAGAAGGTGCCAGTGAAGTCATCCAGGTCGATGGTCCACACCATGGCTCCTCCAAAGTTGTTCTTCTTCAGCCAGTCCACCTGTGGGGAGGAAAATCCCGCTGAGCCCCAGGAGCTGATCCCACAGGAGGCTCTGGTCCCATCCCAGCCCGGCCCTGCTGCCCCAGACCTTGAGGCCAAAGCTCTTCTCGTTGTCGTAGCCGACCCACTCGCTGCCCTTGTAGGCGTAGGGGACATCCTCGGGGGCATCCCAAGCCTGGGTGGCTCCAGAGCTCAGGAAGGTGCAGATCTGGGAGAAAGAGCAGTGGGAATGTGAGCCAGGTTAGGAACTCTGTGCTGGGAAGTGCCAGCAGTGTCTGTGCTGTCCCTGCAGTGCCAACAGTGTCCGGCTGCCCTGGCAGTGCCAGCAGTGTCTGGGTTATCCTGGCAGTGCCGGCAGTGTCTGTGCTGTCCCTGCAGTGCCAGCAGTGTCTGTGCTGTCCCGGCAGTGCCAGCAGTGGCCGGGTTGTGCTGGCAGTGCCAGCAGTGTCTGTGCTGTCCCTGCAGTGCCAGCAGTGTCTGTGCTGTCCCGGCAGTGCCAGCAGTGGCCGGGTTGTGCTGGCAGTGCCAGCAGTGTCTGTGCTGTCCCTGGCAGTGCCAGCAGTGTCTGTGCTGTCCCTGCAGTGCCAGCAGTGTCCGGCTGCCCTGGCAGTGCCAGCAGTGTCTGTGCTGTCCTGGCAGTGCCAGCAGTGGCCGGGTTGTGCTGGCAGTGCCAGCAGTGTCTGTGCTGTCCCTGGCAGTGCCAGCAGTGTCTGTGCTGTCCCTGCAGTGCCAGCAGTGTCCGGCTGCCCTGGCAGTGCCAGCAGTGTCTGTGCTGTCCTGGCAGTGCCAGCAGTGGCCGGGTTGTGCTGGCAGTGCCAGCAGTGTCTGTGCTGTCCCTGCAGTGCCAGCAGTGTCCGGCTGCCCTGGCAGTGCCACCAGTGTCCGGCTGCCCTGGCAGTCAGGGTGAGCCCTCACACACCTCGTAGTAAGCCAGGAGCCCGGCCTCCCTGGTGTAGGGTCCTGCGGGGCCAGGCCCGGAGCTGGGGGCGCCGATGGCGGTGTTGGATGGGCTCTGCAGGGTGAAGCTCTTTCCATAGGTTGGGAATCCCACCAGCAGCTTCTGAGCTGGGGCGCCGTTGTTCTTCCAGTAGTTCATGGCGTATTCCTGGAAAAGGCAGCGCGGTTCAGGCTGTGCTGTGGCAGAGGCAGCCCCGGGCCAGAGGCCCCAAAGGCACTCACAACGCTGAAGGTGCTGCCGCTGTCGAACAGGGGGCTGTTCTCGCCCGTGGAGCCGTCCCAGGGCCCGTGGAAGTCGTAGGTCATGACGTGGATGTAATCCAGGTACCTGCGAGGAGCGGGGCTGTGTCCTCACCTGAGGCACCCCAGCTGGGGCTGCCCATCACCCCCACAGCCCCTGCACTTGGGGTCCCTCAGGGGCTTTCACTGCCAGGAACCCACCCCAGTGCCACCAGGGACCCCGGGCTGGTCACTCACTTGCCCAGCTCGGCGATCTCGTAGCCAGACTGGATGGTGGAAAGTCCTCCTGCCACAGCGGCGGTGACCATGAGCCGGGGCCTGTTGGTCTGTTGGGCTTCCTGCTCGAAGGCTGCCAGCAGCTCCTGAGGGATCCAAGGCACAGGAATCACCTGGGGGCTCGGGGCTGAGGCTTTGCAGACACCCAGGGCTCAGAGGGCAGAGCTGTGGCCGGCAGAGCCTGGAGCCAAGCCCACCTTAACCAGGACGGTGAAGAGAGACTTGTCCTGGGCAGGGCTGCCCCTGGAGCCGGGATACTCCCAGTCCAGATCCAGCCCGTCGAATCCATACTGGCGCAGGAACCTGACCACGGAGTTGATGAAGGTCTGGCGGTTCTGGGGTGTGGAAACCATGGTGGAGAACCTGGACAAGCAGAGCGGGACCGAGGTGGGGTTGGAATCCAGCCTCTTCCTGCTTTCCCTCCCTCTCCCGGGAGTCATTATTGGAAAGAGCTGGTTTGAACTCACTTCTGTGTGCCGAAATTCCATCCTCCAATGGCCAGCAGGGTCTTCAGGTTCCTGTTCCTGCAAGGGAAGGGACAGGAACCGGAGTGACGCCAAGGGTTTGGTCTCACCATGCCCTTTGCAGCCTGGATGCATTGGTGGAAAAAGCCAAGGGGCAACAGGCAGCACCCAGAACCACTGTCCTCGAGCTCAGGGGACAGGGCTGTCCCCATGCCCTGCCCAGAGGGAGCAGAGCCCTGCTGAGGCTCCCGGCACTCACTGGTTCTTGAGGCCGTTGAAGGACTTGTACAGCGTCTCGTCGTTCCACTCGTAGGTGGTGATCTCGTTGTTGTTCATGCCGGCGAAGGCGTAGATCAGGTGGCTGCACAGGTTGGGGTCGATGTTCTCAGGGGTGTATCTACCCTCACCAGGCCTGTACTGGGCCCAGTTGGTGAAGTAACAGGTCAGCACATAGGCAGTGCCTGCGGGGAGACAGCGGCCATGCAGGGGCTGCCGTGCCCGGGCACGGCCCGGCCCCTGGGCACGGCCCGGCCCCGGGCACGGCCCGGCCCCGGGCACGGCATCCCCCGCTGCTGCCGGGCCGGGCCGGGCCC